AGTTTACCCTTAATTGCATCCCTTACTCCTTACTCCAGGGGAACAACCCTTTCGAAAAATTTAAATGGCATGGGGTGGTGAGTGATAGCTCATTTGAAAGGGGGTTTTATTCTCTATTCAACCCTGCAAAAAAATTTAAATTTGCTTCTTTACGTGTTGATTTATTAATGTTTAAAAATAACAAAACCTCACAAAATAGGAAAGCAACTAAACTAATAGTGACCTTCTAATGGCAAAAAGTCTTACTTCACGTCTGAACCAAAACCAAAATCATGCAGGGCCGAATTTTAATTCTAAGGATGAGTGCGCTACGTTAATTTCCGTTATTCTGAAACAACAATTAGTCGAGAATTAATGAAGCAAATTTCAAATTTTTTTACATGGTTGAATAGAGAATAAAACCCTCTTTCAAATGAGCTATCACTCACCACCCCATGCCATTTAAATTTTTCGAAAGGGTTGCTCCCCTCCAGTAAGGGATGAAATTAAGGGTAAACTATTCATACAAAAATGTACACTGTAGAAATCAAAAATCGACGTGTCTCGGCGATTTTCCTAACAAGACTCCAGTAACGAGTTATATAGGGGGGGTAAGACTTATGGTGCTCACGGTATATCACGATATATACCATGATATTTATACTTTGATATATATCCGATATATTCGATAATTTTATTTATTAAATTATAAATATTTTCCACCATTCTAAACATTCTAAAATGTTTCAATACGCCCCTGTAGAAAAGTATAATAACTGTAGCGATTTATTCGTCTGTCGCGCAAGAATCGCCGCCCGAACTTTGGGATTCCCAGCTTCGCCACGATTTGTTTTGTTTTTGCTGTTTAAGTGTATGAATCAAAATATAGACAAAAAGAAAACCAACTTTGACTGGACATGGAAACCAGCCATATCTGAAGATTTTGAAGTTATTGTCACTAATAGGAATAACATTATTGATATTAATAATGCATCAGATGATGATATACCAATATCAATGTTAACAAAATAATGTTAAAATCTGTTTGTTTTGTATTTTTTTTTTGTTTTTAATTAGAGTTATAAATGTTATAATAAAATGTTTTGTTGTTTAGAATTTAGAATATAGATTTTTAATTATATGTTTGTGTTAAAATATTAATGTTTATTTTGTTTTTGTTTTTTACCTTTTAAGTTAGAATAAATGGTTTTGTTGTTTAGAATATAGGTTTTTGTTTATATTTAAAATATAGTTTGTACAAGAAACAATACTGTTTTTTAATTAAATTATTAAATTTTAAAAATGATATATATCGGATATATATCATGTGATATGATATTTATATAAATATCATGATATTTTCGAACCCTGCTTTGGATAGTCAACGTAGAAAAACACATTTTTAAAAAAGCAATTAGTTTTGGCTCTACAGATCGAGGCGTTACTGGTGGATCACCCTGTATAGACATTTAGATAAAAATAAATTATGCAGAAAAATTTAGTGAAAAGTAATTACCTAGTAAAAAGAACCTTAACCTATATCCATTATCACACAAAATTTAAAATTTTAAATCTTTGTGTGCGTAGAAAAATGTGTTTATATTTTTTTTTTTTACTCCTATTCTTTAATTTATTTATTATACATTCATTACCTGTACTTTAATGGCATCCATTAAGATACATATTTTCATTAAGATGCAAGTTTACAGCCAATAGAAATGCAATATCACAGCAAAATTTGGTAAAAATCATATATGCCATGAACATCAGGCACATCTAAAATTTATCAGTTTGACATTTTATCGTCAGATTTTAATACTGAAAATTATAAAATCGGCAAAAATGTATAGTGACAATAATGAACTAGATAGTCTAACTCCACAAGAAATTGTGGAACAAGCCACAAGAGCCATAAATAATTTATTACCATCAAAACCCACAAAAGTATATGAAACATTTTATAGTCAATTCATGGATTGGAGGCACAAGAAAAATGCAAACACATTTTCAGAAAACGTAATAACTGTTTATTTTGATGACTTATCAACCGACAAGTTTATGGACATATTCAATTTTGAAATCGACTTTATGTATTAAACATCAAGTGGATATATCCAAATATTCAAAATTACATGACTTGTTGAAAAGAAAATCTGAAGGGTATACACCCAAAAAATTAAAATCTTTTAATACAAATGAAATAAAGCAATTTATTGCAGAAGCCCCAGACGTTAAATATCTATTTACTAAGGTAAGTTACTTTTGAATGTAATATATAGGAATGAAAAGCTGTGATTTTTATAGGTGGCATGTATCTTTGGTATTATGGGAGCTTGCAGAAGACACGAGCTACACAAGTGGGAGTTTTGAGATCTAGATGATTTTCTATCAATCCTGTTAATCACAATTAAAGATACAAAAACAAGAAGAAAATTCACAGTTACGGGAAAGTATTATGAAATATGTAAGAAGTACATGAATCTTCGTCCAAAAAAATTGTATAACCCAATCTTTTTTTTATCAAATACACAAACGGAAAATGCACCATACAAAACGTAGGAATAAACAAATTTTGAAACATTGCTACTTACTTAAATCTTCCGGACCCCAATTTATATACCGGACACTGCTTTCGCCGCAGTTCTGCCACAATATTGGTGGATGCCGGTGGTGATATCACCACACTAAAACGTCACAATGGATGGAAATCCACAGCAGTAGTTGAAAGCTACATTGACGAATCTATTCAAAATAAAGTCAACGTAGGTAATCATATTTTGAATTCGATTGAATATATACAAACCAGCAATTCAATAAATATTATTCCATCAACGTCAACAACGGCATTAACCAATATTGTTACAAAATTGCCTGAAGTACCACAGTTGCATTTTAATAACTGTACCATCAACAATGTAACCATAAATCAAAAATAGTATCGAAATGAATAATTCTAATATTTCCTCTATTTGTTAAATTTTGATTTCTGTTTGTTTGTAATAAAGTTTTGATGTTTATTTAATTCTTCCTCTATAAGTTTAATAAATTTTGAAAATAAATTACTTATTTTTCTTTATTATAATTTGTTGGTCGTAGAAAAAAATAGTGTTTGCAGCTCACATTTAACACGTTGAGCGCCACACTGAAAACAGCATATGCACCCTGTGGATCGCACCTAACTGCGAATGAAGCGGATCCAGGATCACTCAGCTTGCCTCAACATCTAGGCGCAGACATACGTTAGTGCAAGCTGAAGGACCAAGAAAGTTGTCACGTAAGTGAAATTTGTTATAAAACTATGAGCAGGGAACATGAGGCATCATATGCCAGAAAAAATGCAAAGAAAATGAACACCAATCTGCGATGTATGCCAACTTCCAATGTGTTTGGAGTGTTTCCAAAGAGAACATTGCTAAAGGACCCCGCAATAATCTTATGGAAATTGGGTTTCTGTCAAATTGTCTGAATTTTTGATATGTTGTAGATTTTGTCATCCTGAACAAAAGTCTCTATGGGCACAAAGTGCCAAAATGAATATTTTGGCAGCTACGGAGCTGCCAAAGCTCCCCTGGCCTGTTGCAAAACTATTCATTTTCAATACTATTTACAGATGTCAAAAGCATATTTTAATTATTCTAATATATAGGGTAATGTTTTTGAGGTCACTGGATTCAACCCTCATGTCAGATTGGACAAATTGACCGTTGACAGCTGTCAATTCACTGTCAACGAGGAATATAAAAGTAAATATCCTCTTTTCACATTGAGAGTTTGGGTTTTTGAGGTCGCTGAATTCAATTCTCATGTCAGATTGGACAAATTGACAGTTGACAGCTATCAATTGACTGTCAACGAGGAATATAAAAGTAAATATCCTCTTTTCACATTGAGAGTTTGGGTTTTTGAGGTCGCTGAATTCAATTCTCATGTCAGATTGGACAAATTAACCGCTGACAGCTATCAATTCACGGTCAACGAGGATTATAAAAGTAAATATCCTCTTTTCACATTGAGAGTTTGAGTTTTTGAGGTAGCTGAATTCAATTCTCACGTCAGATTGGACAAATTGACAGTTGACAGCTGTCAACTGTCAACGACCTCAAAAACCCAAACTGTCAATGTGAAAAGAGGATATTTACTTTTATATTCCTCGTTGACCGTGAATTGACAGCTGTCAACGGTTAATTTGTCCAATCTGACATGAGGGTTGAATCCAGTGACCTCAAAAACATTACCCTATATATTAGATCTGTAAATAGTATTGAAAATGAATAGTTTTGTGCCCATGGAGACTTTTATTCAGCATGAGAAAATCTACAACATATCAAAAATTCAGACAATTTGACAGAAACCCAATTTCCATAAGATTATTGCGGGGTCCTTTATTGACTCATGAATTTTTCAGCTTAGAATTAGGTTCTATTTTTGAATATTTTATTTTTATAATGATTTTTTAGTATTTATTTTATTTGACACAATTTTCGACCCAAGTATAGCACTATGTTCCCTGTGGCCCACAGATTACGAGCATCCATGTAAAACTCATAGAACGAGTGCTCCCAGGCGGGCACTCGGTCCCAGGAGTGTATAACCAAATGTCCGCCGATGGGCACTCGGCGCTCAACGTGTTAAATGCTCGTTGCATAATATACTATTAAAGGATGTTAATAAACGATTGAAATTTGGTGTATCAAGATGGCTGTTCAATACAATCTGTTAACTAATTGATTTTTGGAACATTTGGTTTATTGCGAGATGGAAGTGCAATGGCATTCTTTTTTCCTAAATTAATATCATACACTTCGGTCCGAAAACTGCTTCTATAAACAACTTTGTTCGGCTAATTTTTACATCATCACTCCATCTCTACAAGGAACGTTTAACAAATTCACTTTTAATATGCATTTGCAATTTGCATTAATAAAAATATTAAATTTATATGTAGTTAGGTATTATTAAAAAATTATTTGATTGTTTCCTTTCTTAATTTATCTCCTGTCTGATTATTAGTTTGTGCTTACCCCGTAAGAGCGCGTATGGCTTCGCTGTAGTCGGCAAATTGTAACACACGTGATGACGTGTAACGTAAATCCGGTTGGCTGAGAGACTTTGAGGAGCACAAATAGAATCGCTTCATTGTAAAATGTACTAATAATTGTAACTTTTTTTAAGAATAAATGGGTAGGTATCGTAATAGAGCAAGCAAATTGATTATCGTCAAACTGACGGCGATTGATTTATAGTAACTTGATCTAAAGGCAAGTATATTAGGATTGATGAATAATAAATGTAGGTAATTTGAATTAGATACCTACTGTAACTTGGTCGAATTTACAAATATATCCGTGTAAAAATTGTTCTAAAAACATAAAATTGGGAAAATAGTCTCTATTGATGTCTTAAAAAAAATCACTTTCTATACTATCGAAATATTCTCCATATTCGAAAACCTAGAAAGTTTCCATATTTTAAAACCAGTTCAAAAACTTATCATTTTAACTGGGACGCCACAACTAGGGGAGAGTAGAGTAAAAAAGTGCTAAAAAATTTTATCTACATTTTATTATTTTTGAAACCATACTTATAAAATTCAACCTTCTTCAAGACAGTCATCTTTCAATAGTCATTTTAATTATATGCAAGAAAAAATTTAAATGAAATTATATTTTATTTCAAGAGCCTCACAAGATTTAACCAGAATTCCAGGTAGTCCATGGAATTGGTACTTTTTGCCTTACATCAAATGAGGTAGTTCTTGATTTTTTTTATATCTTGTTACTGATGAGATGGTAATGACAAATCCAAATTTTCCATTTCTTTAAATTTTAGGACTTTCATTTTATGTCAATTTTTACCACCAAGGACCTTTGTTACGGCAAAAGTTACAATGCATACTTTTTAAGTAGACTAAATTTGGAATGAAATGAGAATAATTTGGTTTTGGTGGGCCAAATAATTTATAAGAACGGCTATTTAAAAGTTTGCAAAATTTAAAAAAAAAAGGAAGTATTACTTTTTTTTTAGTTTTCGACAATTTTTACCCCTAAGAAGTGGGTTTATGGGAAAAGTTACTTTTTTTTTTAGTTATTAAAGTGCACTAAATTCCCTACAAAATGAGACCAATTATATCAACTTACACCTGATAGTTCCTGAGACACAGCTGTTCAAAATTGTTGAGGTAAGTAAACAAATATGTACTAGAAGGGCTTGCAAAATGAAGTTAGTGAAATAAGCAATATAATTTATTAAAATAAACATTTCACTAATTAAAATATTAATATGAAAAATGTAATGAAACGCCTCATTGTATTTTTTGTACAGCACAGTTAGGAAAATAGTTATTACTCGCATTTTTTGTATATTTTTGATGGATCAGGCTCGTCCTCTGAATCCACAGCACACCTTTTGAGGGCAGCTTGCTGAGGGAGAATTTATTCATCGAACTGCTCAGGAATGTCAAAATCGTCATTTGATGGTGTGTCATCAATGAATGGTTCCTCAATTTCGTCACACATCAGGTCTGGTATGTTCTCGCACGATTGGCCAGTGTAGTAGCTGCAAACAGCCAAGCATTTCAGTCCTGCTTTCCTGCAACCACAACTGCAGTTAAAGAAAATCATATTTAGCAGAGCTTGAGGAGTTGGTGGTGCCATCACCTGTTGAGGAATAAGGCCTTGTGTACTCCGCATTCAGCCCCAATCGAGAGGATTGTTCTCATTTCCCAGCCGCTTCTGGGCCTAAACAAAATCAACAACAAAATAAGGAACCATGTATAAAGAATGTGGTCTGAAGCAGAAAGGAATGCAAGCAAAAACTTATTCTCACCTGGTGGAATCTTGGCAGAGAGTGAAATCTTGCAGTATCCCTGGTTGGAGGCAATTTGGCGAGGTTCATGTTGGGCGTAACTGCCACCCTAGTGAACAACTGGATGTGAAGATCACTAAGATTTTGCGATTCTCAATTGCCTCCATAAACTGAAACAAGGAAGGTCTCTCCTGCGTCGGCAACTTGCTCAGGTGTGGCATTGGAGCTTAAGAAAACCTCTGCGTTTTGTTCCAAGAGTTGCTGTTTTTTTATTGTCGATAGAAATTTATTGTTTCCTTAGCCAAAAGGTCCTGATGTTGTATCATAACCGCTAAACGCATGAAGGAACAGTGCTATTCCAGGTTGTGATAATTGCGTGAAGGAATTTGTCGAGTAGGTGACATCTGGGTTTTCCTCTCCCATATTTTACAAATATAATATTGTTATTTGGTCTGTTTGTTGGAAGGATGTGGTCTTCTCCATCTCATGACAAACCACAAAGTAAGACCAACAAATCTATATCCTCGCCGACGATCTTCACTACTTTGTAGGAAGAAGATATGGAAATGGCTGTGGTTACTATTAACCTATCAGCATCTTCCTCTGCCTCTAATGTTAGAATTTTGCTTTCCGCACCCACGCACGGGGTACTGGCGTTAGCATGTTAATTTAAATATCAAATCGGTGATCCAGGTTTTTATTGTATTGTTTCTTCCGTGATATTAGTTGCAAATAAAAGTAAAAACAAATTGTGTTATAATATTTAATATATGTTATGTTGCATATAAAAGTAAAAACAAAACACACTTTCAGTAAAAATCTACCAGACAACTAAAAAAAATTGTAATAAATCTTTTTTTTTTTTTAATTTTGCAAATATCTGGCCTACCAAAACCAAATTACATCATTCAACAACTTTGAACAGCTGTGTCTCAGGAACTATCAACAGGTGTAAGTTGACATAATTGGTCTCATTTTGTTGGGAATTTAATTAAAAAAAGTAACTTTTCCAATAAACCCCCTACTTAGGGGTAAAAATTGTCGAAAACTAAAAAAAACTGTATAAATTACTTTTTTGAAATTTTGCAAACTTTTATATAGCCGTACCTTAAAAACTATTTGGCCTACCAAAACCAAATTATTCTCATTTATTTGCAAATTTAGTCTACTTAAAAAGTGTCCATAGTAACTTTTGTCGTAACGTAGGTACTTGGAGGTAAAAATTGACAAAAACGGAAAAACTCCTAAATTTTAATAAATTTTCATGTATTTAACTGTGATCCGAAGGGCTTTCGAGGTGGAAAACTTGGATTTGTCATTACCCATTTCATCACTACCAATTCTTAAAAAATCAGAACTACCTCATTTGATGTAAGGCAACACTTCTTTTTTTGTACGATTTCCATGTACTAATGATAACTGCATAGAAAACTATTTGAAAATTTTCTACCGTACTTTACGTGTAAATAAACTGAAATCTCTACAAAAGCTTCAAATCGGGCAAGGAGAACTATTTTAAGATACAAAAGGGTTACTCCTAGGACTTTTTTTTACCAAGGGTTTATTAAAAAAATATAAGCTATAAGCTGATGAGGACTTTTTTCTGGAAACCCTATCTTTATTCACTTTTCAAATGGGTGGCAACCCTAACTACTCCAATATACTTAATGCCGAAGACCTTAAGAGTGGTTATCCGTAAACCGTAAAACAAAGACTAATGTATTTGGCAATAAGTTATATCTATAAAATGGTTCATAACCTTCTACTTTCCCAATTTAATAGTTTTATCAAATTCACAATTACAATACCATATTTAAGGAATACTTATATTAATTAAGGTATTCAACAACACAAAAACAAACTTTTTAGGGTTTTATAATGGTTATTATTACAAAGAGTTAGAATTGGGTCGAGCAGGAAACGAATAATATCAGCTGACCTATCAGCGTACAGCCAAAACTACTAGGCCTAGAAAGCTGAAATTTGGAACATAGGTTTATTTTATAACGTAAGCATCCGCTAAGAAAGGATTTTTGGAAATTTTAACTATAAAGGGGGGAAATGGGAGGAAATGGGGGGAGGTAGCTTTTAATGAAACTCTTTGTTCTTTAAAGTTAGAAACATGAAAATTTAAATTACAGCTGCTGAGCAAAAATAAATAATGACGTTCAGGGTTTTTGGATTTTTTACATTTTAAGGGGGGAAAACGGGGGGTGAAAGTTTGGAAGGGACTATCGATTTTTTTTGTCTCTATGAAGTTAGAAACATGAAAATTGGAATTGCAGCTACTGAGTACAAATTAATATTAATGTGTTTTAGGGTATTTATATTTTTACATCTTGAGGGGGGGAAAACGGTGGGTGAAAGTTTGTAAGGGACTATCGATTTTTTTTTGTTCTCCTTGAAGTTAGAAACATGAAAATTGGAATTGCAGCTAATGAGTACAAATTAATAATAACGTATTTCAGGGTTTTTGGATTTTCACATTTTAAGAGGGGGAAACCGGGGGGTGAAAGTTTATTTGAAAATATCGATTTTTTTTAAAGGTAGGGACTTGAAAATTGGAATTGTAGGTTCTCATCATAAATAAATAATGAAGTGTTTCATAGTTTTCGGATTTTCACATTTTAAGGGGGGAAAACGGGGGTGAAAATTAATAAAAATTAATAAAAAATTAATAAAAATTATTGAAAATTATTGAAAATTATTAAAAATTATTAAAAATAATTAAAAATTATTAAAAGTTATTAAAAATTATTAAAAATTATTAAAAATTATTAAAAATTAATAAAAAATAACGATTAATAAAAATTAATAAAAAAATTTAAAATTAATAAAACTTAATAAAAATTAATAAAAAATTAATAAAAATGAATAAAAATTATTAAAAATTAATAAAAATTAGTAATAATTAATAAAAATAATAATTTTTAATAAAAAAGTAATAAAAATTATTAAAAATTAATAAAAACTAATAAAAATTAATAAAAATTAACAAAAATTAATAAAAATTAATAAAAATTAATAAAAATTAATAAAAATTAATAAAAATTAATAAAAATTAATAAAAATTAAATTAATAAAAATTAATAAACAATAAAAAATGAATAAAAATGTATAAAAATGAATAAAAATGATTAAAAATGAATAAAACTAATAAAAATTAATAAAAAAGAAAGTCATTTATTTTTTTTTATATTAATAACACGACTACATGCTAGCAAAGTCGCGAGCAGAAGCTAGTTTCTTATATGTTAAGTTTTAAAGCTTAATAATTAGTACCCGTTAATATCCACGATTTAACGCATACAATTAACACATTATGTAAACCTCTAATCAATTATTGCCAAATAAAATTTTACCTCAAATTTGCCTATTACCTAAAATTAATTGAAAACCCCCCAATTCCAATAAATTTAATTAAATTTAAAATTTTTAATATATTTCTGCTTATAGAATAAATTTTTGCGGCACAAATGAACTATTATGTTAATTATGACAAAAACATCCTGTATATATTACGATCTGGGGGGCGAGTAAATTTAATAATAAGAGATTAATGTACTTACATGGCTTTGGCTTTCGCCAGTTCGAGAGCGGTAACCCATTGTTGTCGCTCCACTTCTGACGCCGCTTTTATATGAAACGTTTGGGTCCCTCCATTCGAAATGACGAAAGTGCAGGCATCCACCGTGTATATCAAGGCACCGTGTAACGAAATACTACCCCGACAAGTGTGAGCCATCTCGGCCTGGTTCCTGCAAACATAAAGGTTGTATAAAAAAATCATAGCGATAATATCGTAAATTATTTTTTGTTAGAGGACAATAATTATAAACAAAAATAAAAACAAATTGTGTGAAATGGTGATAATCGACTCAATATAATAAAGTGTCTCCCAAACGTTGGGACATCTATAGTAATATGTAACTATAGTGTTAGAAATTTCAATATGTAACATAAACAAATAACACTAAAATTAATTATTGTACAAAAGAGCAAATACAACTCCGAGCATTTCGGTGATCAAATCAAGACTGATCAAATTCCCGTAGCGGCTAAGCATATTCAGAGTTTAATAAATAAATAGTCATCTTTTTTTTTAAATAATTCTGCAAAAATGAATAATAAAAATTATGGATTTAACAATAGACTCTTGGGATACAAATAAAATGATTTCACCCAACTTATCTACATTCAAAATTGCCTGATTAAGTCGGCATAAGGCGTGAAAATTTAAAAAATATAATTTTGTACATAGTAGGTTGTGATCATTTTTTTATCATTTTTGGTAAGACAGTAACTCTAAGATGTTCTTGCCTGCAAACACTATTACAGGCAATTTTTAAATTATTTTTCTCGTTAATACTTTTATTTAAGCTACTATTTTGGTAGATATTTTTCGTGCGAACCGTCTGACTCGACAGTTTGGCAAGGAAAGAAATATTTTTATTAAGTATTTTAGATAAACCAAAGATCACAAAAATAGTAACTTACAACACTGAAGTAAAGAGACCCTCATCGAGACCTAAAAAGCTCGAACTAGTGTTGTTGATTACCATTTGCGTTTAAAGAGTTGCTTTCAATAGTTCATGAACCATTTTTCTCTTTAAATCCTTTTCCGAATTATGCAATAATAAAAGGTTTGTCGAATGAACATTATGGTAAATTTTATTACATTCATGAAAATTACAAAACCATACCTAACTTTATAAAAAAGAAAAGAAACTAATCAGAATCACTTGCAGACGAAGAATCTAAAACCGCATTTGGGAAATGTGCTTCTAAAAGACTTAAGCCTTCTGGAGAAAAACATTTCTTCTTAGGCTTGTTATTACTGGATCGGATAAAATATGAAAAATATTTAATTAAATAATACACTTTTTGAAGTTCCTATTTTAAAAAACCGATACTCCCATACAAACTTTCACCTCCCGTTTCCCCCAACTAAAATGTGAAAATTAAAAAATCCTGAAACACGCTATTATTTAATTATAAGTAGCTACAATTCCAATTTTCAAGTTCTGCCTTAACCCTTTCACAATTGTACACATTAAATTAACGTACTAAGTTAGTCTAAAATGTGTGATTTTTTTTAATATATACCGATTGTATATTATAACGATTGTTTAATTTATTTATAATTTATTTATTAAAAACAGTTTATTTAATGCATTTATAACTTAGGCACTATTACAACTCATAAATCCAATATATTTATTTCAATTTATCTTTTCTATGCGACACTTAAATTTAAACTTAACTTCTATCGACAAACTCGCGCTATTTATATAAAGCCAGCTCTGCACCAGTAGTTTCTAGGCGATCTAGAATGTCCGGAAACTCCTCTATAACTCATTTGCCGCGAATCGATTTATTCGGTAGCTTCTTGAAGCAGAGCGTTTCTCTCAATATGGCAAGCGCTTGACTTTGTATTGCGGGTAGGTAGTAAACAAAGAACAGACTCGGCTTTACGCGACATTGCCCCCTCCTTAAGAAATAGTTTCTTCTGGAACTAACACTGAATGATTGTATCTGCAACTGGACCCATTTTTACAATTCCCATTTGTATGGAAATAACAAGGGACGGTTTTTGCTGAAACCTGGACACTAGGCAAATGGCTGCAAACCAGTATTTAAACTTAGTTATCTTGGAAAATTACTTCCATCATATTTCTAATGATTCTTCAATTTATCTGGTTGCTCTTTATCTTGGGCATAGCTAGTTTCTGTACATTGGACTCCAATACGTACTCCCTCAGATTGAGTAATGTTCCCCATACATCATGATAAGTGGATCGATTTCGAAAGGTGTTCTTTGTTACTAAATAGAAAAGATTCATCTTAAAGCTTTAATGCTTTTCCAGAGGGTGATAACTGATCTAGAAGTTATGACTATCGAACAAACTTCTTCCGCAACACAGATGCCAGACCTCGAGCGTCGTTGATGTTGGAGGAAGCGTTATGGATCAGCGAGTAGTCTTTAAGAACCGTGAGCAGATCTTGTTGTTGCTCGGTTGTAAAACCATATCTTGCTTTTCCGGTACCTCCATCAATTCTTCAAAGACAAGGTCAGGTGATTTTTGGAGCTGGTTTACTTCTTCTTTTCCGCCATGGTCACCGTTAGAGATCTTACTTATACCGTAAATGACATCATTAATTTTTTCTTAATGAGGTGCGAACTTTCCCAAGACCTTTGAAGCTTCGGAGAATAACCCATTTTTTCTTTTTGGGTTATGGAGCCAAACTTTGTCGCCTTCATTAAAACATCGCTGTCGATTTGCAGATGCGAGCCAACCAACTCATGCATATCGTCCATTTTTCCTTGTAGCTGGATAACATAATCTTCACCGGCTATGTATTCTCCAGGTCTGCATCCGAACTCGAGGTCACACTGCAGTCTCATCTCACGCCCGAACAGCAGCTTTGTTGGTGTTTGGCCTGTAGATTCATTGACAGCGGATCTATATGCCATTGCAAAGAGCGAAAGATACTGAGCCCAATCTCGCTGATGGTTGGAAATCACTTTTCACAGGTATTTGCCAATTGTCATATTCATTCACTCTACCATTCCATCCGACTGTGGGTGCATTGTCGTAGTTTCTTCATGCCTAGACTGTCAAAGATTCCTCGAAAGAGCTGGCTTTCAAAATGTCTGCCTTGGTCACTGTAGATTTACAAGGGCACTCCAAATCTACTGATGAATCTGCAACAGTTGTGTGATTTGGAATAGGGTAGACTACCCAAATAATTCATAACCACCATCATGTATTTATTACCACCTTCGGTCTTAGGGAATGGTCCAGCAATATCTAAGGCAATCCTCTCAAATGGGCTACCAACATTGTATTGTTTCATGGGGGCCTTCCTTTTTCGTTGGGGTCCATTACTCATAGCATAGGTGGTAGATTTCTTACACCAGTCCTTTACATTATCAGAACTGTTCATCCAATAAAACCTTTCACGAACTCTCTGAAGGGTTTTCTTAACACCGAGATATCCACCTGATGGAATGTTGTGTAACTGACGAAGTACTTCATCAACCACTTTAGGGCTGCATGATCGCTACGGATTACGAATTTTCTTCCATATAGGTATTGGTAAAAGTGTTCCACGCATTTCACAACTGCCAGGAGTTCTCTTCTCGTGGCGCAGTAATTTCGCTCAGGTTTCGAGAGAAATAACCTAGTATTCTTTCTTTCCCTCCTTGAATATGTGAAAACACACATTACTGGCGTTAGTATCCAGAGAAAAAGTTATCCCTCTGGTAGTGGGTAGCCTAGTATTAACGCTGTTGTTAAATGTTTCTTTAGTGTTTCAAAGGTAGACCAGAACTACCGGAGAGACACATGAGCTGGTAGAAGGTTTTATCACCCCGTATTCCTCCATTTCCCGAACAATCCTTTCAGCTTCCTCTCTCTTGGCCTTTGGTAATCGAATCGACCTGGCGACACTATGCCAATTTTGTATTTTACAACATAAGTTCTTCCTGTTTTTCCTCCTTTTGGTACAAAAATGTCTCGATATCGTCGAAGAAATCCTTTTATTTTCTTTTTCTCTAATTGATTCAGAGACTGATCAGCAACTACAATCATTTGCTCGAATTTGTCGTTGGAATTATCAGAAGTTGTTGTCTGACGAATTATCTAAGTTACTAGTACACAAGTTCCGATTCTGGTCTCTTTGTTGATGGTAATTAGGTGATCATTAACGTCTATAAGACGAACTGGAACCTCTTTAGCAGTTGTGATCAACCCGTTTCCGATCAGAATTCCTCGTCCAACCTCTTCATCGTGGTTCCGAGGTTCCATAATTACAGGTGTTCCTTCCTCCATAGTTTCTTGAAGCCGTGCTATTATGTTTTCACTTCTGCCAGGTACCACCGTATTCACCTGTACAGCAACTGGCACGGTACTGTTCCCATATGGATGTAGGAATATCTCTTCGACACCAACTTTGATCACTCTGTTTTTAAAATCCAACTGGAAACCATGTAAGTTCATTACATCCATTCCAAGTATAACATCTTCTTCGATATCAGCGATAATAACAGTATGAGTGAACTTGTTTGTACCAATTCCCAATTGAACCTGGATTTCTCCATGAATGGACACTTTCACTTGTGGCAGCCCGCAGTCGCAATCTTGTTGGTAGATGTCTCTTATGATTATTTATGGTTGTTGGTCGTATAATGGTCCAGTATCCACCAACAGTGTATACTTTTTACCATTTACTTCGCCGTCTACACTATCATCGCGATATTTCAAAGAGGCTATCAGTATGAGAAGGTCTTTGGAATGGTTTCGGATCAAAGCTACTCCGTTTGAGTCGATCCGCTCTAGTTTTCCTGCGGCGTGTTGTCTCCATTTGTTGGGACCATAGGACGTTTGCACGAACTGCTTACATGTCCCAGTTCACCGCAATTGCAGCACCTGATCTTTTTTTTGCCAGCAAAGGTCTTTATTATGTTGGTCGAGTTTATCTTTCACGTTTTCTTCTTTTACAGTCCTCACTTTACTGTATCCTCTAGAAGCCTGCGTAGCTGCCTCATACTCTTGAGCAGCGGACAAAACATCGACCAATGTTTTGTGACGGGCTAAGCGAAGTGCTTTCTGCATCTCGTGGCCACGGAGTCCATTAACAAATGTTTGGACTGCTAAACATTCCATCACGTTTTCTGGGACCTGATGGGTAGGCAAATCGCACCAACTTGGCAATATCTACTTCATATTCTTAAAGAGTCTCGTCTAGTTTCTGT